ACCCTCGACCAACGATATTAATCCGTTCCTGAGAGCTCATCGTTAATTGAAATTATCGTTAGTCGAGTTAATTTTTCCCTTAAGAAATAATGGAAATCAAATTAATCCGTGCAAGACACCCAAAAGTATTGAAAAAAAAAAAAATTTTTTACCACATGAAATATTAATTTTAATACACACAAACTGAAGAAGACATGTACAATTACATGACACTTACCTTTATTGAAGATCTGGTGATGATTGATGGGATGGGAGGAGGGGAGACTGTGGATGGTGTTAGTGTTTAGAAGGGGAATCCCCTTCCATTAGGACTTGAGGTGTCAAGTCCTTTTCCTGGGTTACTTCCCTTCTTCTTTTAATGCCACTAGGACCAGCTTGAGAGTCACTGGACCTCTGTCGCACAACATATCTGTCCATAGAGGCCTGTACCTTCCGTTCCTTTATGACATTCCTAAAGTGTTTCACAACATTGTCAGTGTCAGAATTAAACACTTGTTCAGGTTTCAATTCTTCACTGTCTGTGTACTCCTTGAATTCCTGCACATACTTTTCAGCTGCTCTTTGGTCCAAACTGGCATCCTCACCATGCCTTATCACACTATGTATGGCACTACGATTCTTAAATCTCTCAAACCAACCTTTGCTGGCCTTAAATTCACTCACATCACTAGTTGCAGGCATTTTCCTAATTAAATCCTCATGCAACTTTCTAGCCTTTTCACATATGATCGCTTGAGAGACGCTATCTCCTGCTATCTGTTTTTCGTTTATCCACACCAATAACAGTCTCTCAACATCTTCTATCACTTGCGATCTCAGTTTCAAAAACATAGTTGCACCTTTGGCAAGAACGGCTTCCTTGATTGCCATTTTCTTGGCCACAATAGTAACGATGGTTGATTGGGGTTTTGTGTACAACCTGGCCAGCTCGGAGACACGCACTTCACTTTCATACTTTGCAATGATCTCTTTCTTCATATCCATAGTAATTCTCACCCTTTTTGCTGTAGGGTTGGCACTAGAAGCTTTCTTGGGGCCCATGGTGACTTATTTTGCAGGTGCAATCACTAAAAACGCTGTGATAATATGAAATGTTCCGATTGTATGTTTGGATGGGACCATGGTGGCTGGCTGGCTTGTAGACACTGGCCACAAGTGGACACGTCTCAGACGGAATGAATCGTGTTGGTCGAGTTTTTTAGCGCTAGTCGAGGCAAAATTTTTGCGTTAAAATGTATCGCTAGTCGGATTTAACGTTAGACGATGCCATCGTTGGCCGAGAGTCCACTGTACTGGGGAAGAATACATTGTATCTGTATGCTATTGGTTGCTTCATACTGGTCTACCTGGAACGTATTCCAGGGAGCAACGCCCCTGCGGCCTGGTCCACGACCAGGCCTCCTGGTGGATCAGGGCCTGATCAACGAGGCTGTTACTGCTGGCTGCACGTAGTTCAACGTACGAACACAGCCCGGCTGATCCGGCACTGACTTTATTTATCCAGCCCCCTCTTGAAGGCAGCCAGGGGCCTATTGGTAATTCCCCTTATGGATGGTGGGAGGCTGTTGAACAGTCTTGGGCCCCGGACACTTCGGTGTTTTCTCTTAGTATGCCAGTGGTGCCCCTATTTTTCATTAAGGGTATTTTGCACCACCTGCCCAATCTTTTGTGTGTGCAGATTTGGGACCATTAATTCTAGGATTTTCCAAGTGTACATTATGATATATATATATCTCACCAGCATTCCAGTGAGTACAAGTCAAGTGATTCTAAGCGTTCCCAGTAGTTGAGGAGTTTGATAGAACTTATACATGCAGTAAAGGTTCTCTGTACACTCTCTAGATCTGCGATTTCACCTGCTTTGAACAGAGTTGTTAATGTACAGCAGTATTCCAGCCTAGAGAGAACAAATGATATGAAAAAGATCATCATTGGCTTGGCATTTCTTGTTCTGAACGTTCTCATTATCCATCCTATCATTTTCTTTGCAGTTGTGAACGTGGTACTGTTGTGATCCTTTAAAGTGAGATCCTCAGACATCACTACTCCCAGGTCCCTCACATTATTTTTTCCACTCTGTTGTATTATCAGAGTTTATAGTATACCCAGTTCTAGTTATTATCTCCTCCAGTTTTCCATAACGGAGTAGTTGGAATTTGTCTTCTTTGAACATCATATTGTTTTCTTGTTGGTTTATATCTTCTTGGAGGTTAACCATGTCCTCAGTAGATGACAGTCTCATCCAGATCCTAGTATCGTCTGCAAAGGATGACACGGTGCTGTGGATTACATCTCTGTCTGTCTGATATGAGGATGAGGAACAGGATGGGGGCGAGTACTGTGCCTTAAGGAACAGCTTTTCACTATGGCAGTTTCCGATTTAACTCTGTTGACCACTACTCTTTGTAGTGGTCAAAGAGTTATTTCTTTAGCACATATTTTGTGCGCTATTACGCCATGATCACACTCGTCAAAGGCTTTTGTAAAGTCTGTGTATATTACATCTGCATTCTGTTTTTCTTCCAGTGCATCCAAGACCCTATCATAGTGATCCAGTAGTTGCGAGAGGCAGGAGCGACCTGCTCTGAACCCATGTTATCCTGGATTGTGCAGTTTTTGAGAATCCAAGTGGTTTTCAATTGTGCTTGTTAGCACTCTCAAAGATTTTTATGTGGTACTTTAGAGCTCTTGGTCTATAGTTCTTAGCTATTGCTTTGCTACCACCTTTATGGAGTGGGGCTATATCCGTTGTTTTTAGTGACTGTGGAATTTCACCCATGTCTAAGCTCCTCCACAGTATACTTAGGGCACGCAAAAAGGGTTTCTTGCAGTTCTTAATGAACACAGAATTCCACGAGTCTGGGCCTGGGGCTGAGTGCATGGGCATGTTGTCAATGGCTTTCTCAAAGTCTGTCGGAGTTGGGGTAATGTCGGATATATGGCATACATTGATGTAGCTTTGAGGCTCATTCATGAAAAAATCATTTGGATTGTCGATCTTTAGACTGAGTAGTGGTTCACTAAACACAGTCATATTGGGATTTCAGTATCTCACTCATTTCTTTGTTGTCAGCTGTGTAAGTCCCATCTTGTTTGAGCAAGGGCCTGATATAGATGTGGTATTTGCCATGTTTTTGGCACATGAAAAGAAATATTTCGAATTTCTTTGTTTCACAAATCGGTTTTAGCTCCTGTCTCTCCTGGGTACTATAAGAGTCCTTTAACTTAAGTTCGATACTTTCCACTTCCCTGGTCAGCACTTCCTTCCGTGTATCAGATAATCTAGTGATCTTGGGGAGCTCAGTGATTCTTTGTCATCTTCTGTAGAGGGAGCTTCTTTCTCCAGTTTACTTCTCCTTTCTTAGGTGAATATGCTTTGAACATACTTCAACTGCCAGTAAGTTGATCCTTTCAAGGCACTGGTTTGGACCCATGTTATTTAAGATATCTTCCCAACATGTTTCATTTAAGACATGGTTCACCTGGACCCAGTTGATGTTCTTGTTGTTGGAGTTGTATTTGGTGAAGACACCTTCACAGTTATGTGCATTTTGCTAATCAGGACCCCTGTGCATGTAAGTCTGAACTTCGATTAGATTGTGATCAGAATTAGTTGTTTTTGATATTGTTACGTGCCTTAAAAGGTTCTCATTATTTGTGAAGATAAGGGCAGGTGTGTTTTCCAGTCTTGTTGGCTCCACTATCTGCTGACTTAGGGTATGTTTATCGCAGAGATTTAGTAGATCATGGGTGTATAAGACCTTTCATCTGCGCTGCCTTCAGGGATTGTTTCTGCTATAACATTGTTCTACACATTTCCATTTTGTATGCCTTAGGATGAAATCACCAAGCAGTAAGATGTTTGGAGATGGAGCTGGAAGGCTTTCCAGACAGTAATCTATTTTCAGTAGCTGTTCCTTGAACTGTTGGGAGGTTGCATCTGGTGGCTTATATACAACCACGATGACTAGGTTTTGGTTCTAAGTCTTGATTGTTAGAACTTCAACTACATCATTTGTGGTGTTCAGCATCTCTGTGCAGATGAACAACTCTTGAATATACAGGCCAAACCCCCCCCCCCCCCTTGTTGCCTGTTCTTTCTGTCACAGTTAATAAGGTTGTACCCACTTATCCATATTTTGTTGTCAAAGTGATCTTTTGTGTGGGTCTCTGTGAAGGCTGCAAACATCACATTTGACTCTAGAAGTCCACTGATAAAAGGTATTTTGTTGTTGGTGGATGGCTTAACGGTCCTGTATATTAGCAAATATGAACAAACTTTTGTATTATGTGTTTGTTGGGGGGATTTTATTGGCATCAGTAATTGTGGTTTTGGAGTGCCATGGAGGGCCACTGGCTCTCTCTCCAGTCCAACAAGGCTCCAAGGTGGTGGACTATTTTTGTTATTTCCTTCCATTTTCTTTTTTCGTTTCGTGCCATCCTGCCTGTTATCAACAGTTCGTAATTAAAGGCTAACTTGCTTCCAAGACTTTTAAAGTCCAGGACTTTTCAAGTCTTGGGAAATAGTAAGCCTTAAATTGAAACGCCTGAGCTAATATATGGACTTCACTTTTTTTAGTGTATGCAAAGATAAGTCACTTGCTTGGCTTAATTTTGCTGCATTAAGTATTCAAATACTGTTCATTTTGTTATGTGTGTTTAAGGAGTACATATGCTTAAAAGTTGAATGTACATTACAAATGGGAAACTAGAAGTGATATCTTTGATAGATATTTCATAAAGCTTTTTGAATTTTTCATATAAATTACATTGCAGTAGATCTGGGTTTTAACTGTTTTCATTTTTCTCAGTAGAATCCTTGAAAAAATTATTTAAAATATGAATGATAGGACATTGGATGTCGGTGGGTTAATACCCTGTAAAGCTTAGAGAATAATTTGATTTAGTTTAAGACAAATGTTGTTATAAATCCCTAATGGTTTAATATGACTGAACGCACATGTGTTATTATAAAGTTTTAACGATTTAATATGTTTCAGGAGAATCGTACAGGCGGTGAGAGTGAGGGTGAGGGCGAGGGCGAGGGTGAAGGGAACCTTGATGATGTGGTCTCCCCACCTCTGGAAGATGCTGCCCCCCAACAGGAAGATGCTCCGCCACACCCAGCTCGTCGCCCCATGAATGCCTTTCTTATCTTCTGCAAAAGACATCGAGCTCAGGTATGTGAAGGAGAAAAACTCGGAATTCATCAAAGGTAAAGGGACTTTTAAAGCACAAGTATCACAAGTTCAGTGGAACCCCGGATTTCGTACTTAATCCGTTCCAGAAGGTTGTTTTAAATCAGAAAAGTGCAAAAACCGAAGTAATATTTCCCATAAGAAATAATGTAAATACAATTAATCCGTTTCAGACACCCAAAAATGTTAAAAAAAAATACATAAATATGATGCTAAGATCAACTCTACAGCTTATTTATCTATCACAATTCATCTAATATGACAATAAACAATAATATCATAGAAGCATGATATATACTCTAGAATGAATAAAATACTATGTCATTACAAATGTGGCTAGTTGTGGTGGTGGTGGTGGTGGTAGTGTTGGGTTTATAAGGGCCACTGACAGCAAAAGCCGTATAGTAGTGGGCCACCACCACTAAACACACTACTAGTCACACTGAAACACCACTAGTCACACTGAAACAACGTATGTAATTTATAAAAAACAAATATTGTATAAAAACATAATAGTGGTTATTGTGGGGAATGTAAAGAAATAAAGTGGTTATTGAGATGCTAGTAGAGGTTTAGGATGGTGGAAGATACGCAGGGCAGCATATGTTGTCAGTGGCCCTATATACCTTCAATAGCATTGGAAGATAATGTTTTGCGTCATCCTTTTTCTGTCACTTAATCACTTAACTTGCTACACTGTTAACACTACACTTTATCGCTGGCTGGCGCTCTAGCCTTTATCAACTCCTGCTGCTTCAGTATCTTACATATTGTAGAATCACTGAATCACTGAAGAAGGCACATTCTCCCTTCTCTCTCAGCCCTTTACCAAAGGGCTGGCACTAGGAACTTTCTTTGGGCCCATGGTGGCTTATTTTGAGGTCACAATCAGTAAACAAGCACAAAAATTGCAAAATGTTTTGGATGAATGCTCACTAAAGCAGTGACAGAGCCAGACTGATGGCGTTCCCCAGGCAGGTGGACGTGTATGATACGTGCGATTCCTGGGAGAAGGTCTGAAATTCAAAGAAAAAATTCACACCAAAAGAGTGTCTTAAATCCAAAAAGTCTGACATCTGGGGTTTCACTGTATATATATATGTATGTATGTACTATGTATGTGTATGTATGTATGTATATATAATATATATATTATATTATTATATATATATATATATAATATATATATATATATATATATATATATATATATATATATATATATATATATATATATTAATATATATATATATATATATATATATATATATATATATATATATATATATAATTATATATATATATTACATTATATATATAATTATATATATATATATATATATATATAATATATATATATATATTATATTATTATATATATATTTTTTTTTTTTTTTTTTTTCAACAAGTCGGCCGTCTCCCACCGAGGCATAATATATATATATATATATATATATATATATATATATATATATAATATATATACATGTATATATATTTTTTTTTTTTTTTTTATTATCACACTGGCCGATTCCCACCAAGGCAGGGTGGCCCGAAAAAGAAAAACTTTCACCATCATTCACTCCATCACTGTCTTGCCAGAAGGGTGCTTTACACTACAGTTTTAAACTGCAACATTAACACCCCTCCTTCAGAGTGCAGGCACTGTACTTCCATCTCCAGGACTCAAGTCCGGCCTGCCGGTTTCCCTGAATCCCTTCATAAATGTTACTTTGCTCACACTCCAACAGCACGTCAAGTATTAAAACCATTTGTCTCCATTCACTCCTATCAAACACGCTCACGCATGCCTGCTGGAAGTCCAAGCCCCTCGCACACAAACCTCCTTTAACCCCTCCTCCAACCCTTCCTAGGCCGACCCCTACCCAGCTTCCTTCCACTACAGACTGATACACTCTTGAAGTCATTCTGTTTCGCTCCATTCTCTCTACATGTCCGAACCACCTCAACAACCCTTCCTCAGCCCTCTGGACAACAGTTTTGGTAATCCCGCACCTCCTCCTAACTTCCAAACTACGAATTCTCTGCATTATATTCACACCACACATTGCCCTCAGACATGACATCTCCACTGCCTCCAGCCTTCTCCTCGCTGCAACATTCATCACCCACGCTTCACACCCATATAAGAGCGTTGGTAAAACTATACTCTCATACATTCCCCTCTTTGCCTCCAAGGACAAAGTTCTTTGTCTCCACAGACTCCTAAGTGCACACTCACTCTTTTTCCCTCATCAATTCTATGATTCACCTCATCTTTCATAGACCCATCCGCTGACACGTCCACTCCCAAATATCTGAATACGTTCACCTCCTCCATACTCTCTCCCTCCAATCTGATATTCAATCTTTCATCACCTAATCTTTTTGTTATCCTCATAACTTACTCTTTCCTGTATTCACCTTTAATTTTCTTCTTTTGCACACCCTACCAAATTCATCCACCAATCTCTGCAACTTCTCTTCAGAATCTCCCAAGAGCACAGTGTCATCAGCAAAGAGCAGCTGTGACAACTCCCATTTTGTGTGTGATTCTTTATCTTTTAACTCCACGCCTTTTGCCAAGACCCTCGCATTTACTTCTCTTACAACCCATCTATAAATTATTTAAAAAAACCACGGTGGACATCACACATCCTTGTCTAAGGCCTCCCTTTTACTGGGAAAAAATTTCCCTCTTTCCTACATACTCTAACTTGAGCCTCACTATCCTCGTAAAAACTCTTCCTGCTTTCAGTAACCTACCTCCTACACCATACACTTCAACATCGCCACATTGGCCCCCCTATCCACCCTGTCATACCCTTTTTTCCAAATCCATAAATGCCACAAAGACCTCTTTAGCCTTATCTAAATACTGTTCACTTATATGTTTCACTGTAAACACCTGGTCCACACACCCCCCTACCTTTCCTAAAGCCTCCTTGTTCATCTCTATCCTATTCTCCGTCTTACTCTTAATTCTTTCAATTATAACTCTACCATACACCTTACCAGGTACACTCACAGACTTATCCCCCTATAATTTTTGCACTCTCTTTTTTTCCCCTTTGCCTTTATACAAAGGAACTATGCATGCCTCTGCCAATCCCTGGGTCCCTTTACCCTCTTCCATACATTTATTAAATAATTGCACCAACCACTTCCAAAACTATATCCCACCTGCTTTTAAAACATTTCTATCTTTATCCCATCAATCCCCGGCTGCCTTACCCCCTTTCATTTTAAACCTACTGCCTCACGAACTTCCCCCACATCACAACTGGCTCTTCCTCACTCCTACAAGATGTTATTCCTCCTTGCCCTATACACGAAAAAACACAGCTTCCCTATCTTTATCAACATTTAACAATTCCTCAAAAATATTCCCTCCCTCTTCCCAATACCTTTAACTCTCCATTTAATACTCTCCTCTCCTATTTTTAACTGACAAATCCATTTGTTCTCTAGGCTTTCTTAACTTGTTTAATCTCACTCCAAAACTTTTTCCCTTTTTTTCAACAAAATTTGTTGATAAAAATCTAAAAACCAAATCTCTCATTTGCTCTCTTTTTACATTGCTTCACCACTCTCTTAACTTCTCTCTTTTTCTCCATATACCTTCCCTCCTTGCATCACTTTTCTATTTTGTAAAAACTTCTCATATGCTAACTTTTTCCCTCCCTTACTACTCTCTTTACATCATCTTTCCCCACCAATCGCTCCTCTTCCCTCCTGCACCCACTTTCCTGTAACCACAAACTTCTGCTGAACACTCTAACACTACATTTTTAAACCTAGCCCATCCCTCTTCGACCCCATTGCCTATCTCTCATTAGCCCATCTATCCTCCAATAGCTGTTTATATCTTACCCTAACTGCCTCCCTTTTAGTTTATAAACCTTCACCTCTCCTTCCCTGATGCTTCTATTCTTCTGTATCCCATCTACCTTTTACTCTCATGAAGCTACAACTAGAAAGTGATCTGATATATCTGTGGCCCCTCTATAAACATGTACATCCTGAAGTCTACTCAACAGTCTTTTATCTACCAATACATAATCCAACAAACTACTGTCATTTCGCCCAAACATCATATCGTGTATATTTAAATTTTACCTTTTTTTCTTAAAATATGTTTTTACCTATAACAAAAACCCCTTTCCCTATACAAAGTTCAATCAAAGGGTTTCCCATTATCATTTACACCTGGCACCCCAAACTTACTACCACACCCTCTCTAAAGGTTTCTCCTACTTTAGCATTCAGGTCCCCAAACCACAATTACTCCCCTTTCATTTGGTTCAAAGGCTCCTATACATTCACTTAACATCCCCCAAAAAATCTCTCTCTCTCCTCTGCATTTCTCTCTTTCCAGGTGCATACACGCTTATTATGACCCACTTCTCGCATCCAACCTTTACTTTAATCCACAAAAATTCTTGAATTTACACATTCATATTCTCTTTTCTCCTTCCATAAACTGATCTTTTAACATTACTGCTACCCCTTCCTTTGCTCTAACTCTCTCAATACTCCAGATTTAACCCCATTTTTTTCCCCCCACTGAAACTCTCCTACCCCTTCAGCTTTGTTTCGCTTAGGGCCAGGACATCCAACTTCTTTTCATTCATAACATCAGCAATCATCTGTTTCTTGTCATCCGCACTAAAATCCACGCACTTTTAAAGCAACCCAGTTTTATAAAGTATATAATATATATATATATATAATATATATATATAAATATATATATATATTATATAATATATATATTTTATATATATATATATATATACATACACACAGGAGGGCCCCACTTATATGACGGGTTAGGTTCCAGGCTACCGCCGTAAAGTGGAACACCTTTTTTTTTCCACTTACAAATGCATAAAAAACACTAGATAACAATTTTACACTAACATATATTAATGTTAGCAATAGAACCAGGCATCAAAAAACAATTAAAAAGTACAATACAC